CGAATAGAAGCGTTTAGGGCATTCTATAGATTCCTTAACAATTGTTTCTTCACACAACCTTCTAGACTTACGGAGGGTCGAGGCACAAGTATTTCGATATTGTGATTTTGTCTCATCGGTACCCAGTGGCCCGAATCTCTCGCACATTCTTCTCTTGCCGAGAAGAATGAAAATCCCGCTACTGAACCATGGTTGAGAGTTTCTCAACCCCCCTGGTGTAGTCCAAGGGATGTGGGGTGTAGTAACTCTTAGGTCCAAATTTCGAAATACATCACAAGCTGTTTCAACTGGGGACTCTAGCTCTATTGTCCAATCTACTGACGATGCTGAGTGTATAATATTTTCTATATTTGCAATCCAGACGTTAGGTTAGGGATGGGTTGACGCGTGCTCGTTTTTGACAACTGTATGCAAGTCAAAGGTTAGAACTGCATGGTCACTTTTACCTAGGGGTGGCATGTAGTTGAGACTCGTGACGTCATCCTTGTAATGGGTCAATATGAGGTCTAGTACGGATGATGCAGAGTCCGGGTCGTGCCTAGTCGCTTGTTTCACATGTTGTCCTAGGGCACATGTGATAACCACGACAACTAGGTTCTGCTGGAAGGAATTTTCTGACAATTCAGTCTACCATGGATGTATCAAAGCCTCCCTGGATTATACATCGACCACTTTGTGACCAAGTATTGAGACTGTCTAACAAGACCTCATTCACCTCACAAATTCAACTGCCGTAGACCAAGCCAACCAACAGCTCTTGTCCGTTGCATTTTAAGTGGCAACTAACTAATTCACACGTCTCACTCTCATGAGATAAATTATCATTAGTGGTAAATGTGATAGTATTCCTAATGAATAGAGCTACTCCTCCTTTACACTTCTGGATACTATCGGGTCTTTCTAACCTGAAATCTTCAACATTAAGTCCCATACTGTCTATAGACTGTGTCAACCAAGTTTCTGTGACTGCGATTAAGATCCGGCTTGGTAGAGTTAATTTATACACCTAACTCTGATCATTTATTGAGCAAGCTTCTGGCATTAGTGTAACAGATCCGAAGCCTATTTAAATCACTTCGTGCTGCACCCATAGTGACTTCGGCATCATTCTCTCACCAGTCTCACCGCCCGAAAACTTATAATTTCTAGGTCCTTTTTGCCACCATCTAACCTAAGTTTTAGTTCATTTTCGGCTTCTCATCTTTTTATACGGTTCAGGAGGGGCAAGTGCTTACGAACAAAAACTCCTGAACCCTTCAGTTCATGTCCATTCGGTAATATTAAGTCCCGTTCATTGGTATATTTAAATACTACTTTAAACAGCCTGGTTTGATGCTGTTTCAAATTCATTTGGCTACTTAGTCTATACACATTTAGCAAGGTGACTCCGGAGATATCCTGAGACATAGGCGGATTCAGTAGCTGTCTTATCATCCCGATGTCATGCTCAAAACGAGTTTTAGGTTCTGAGCTTTCACTCTACTTCGTTCTGTGAAAGATAAATGACCTATCACTGTGATCAGTCTTTAATTTTTCAGCTACTTTTTTTGAGGGGGGGGAGTGGGTTGGATTTTCTTTAATAGCGTTGTGCCGTTTCTTTTTCTTGACCTGTATCCGTTCATAAACCTTCGTTGGAGTAGCAACCATAGTCGCGTCAAACACACTGTGGGATTCCGGAATGTTATCGACGACTTAGGCAGTCAGGTTGTTTCTTCTGCTAGGAAGAGATCTAGCCTTGCGATTGGAATTTATAGGCATTTCCTGCCGACTACCATTTAGAGGACGGGGGACAGAGGAAACCACGTTTTTGAGTTTTTATTTAGAACAAAACTCTTTGAGGTCGTTATTTCCTTCTTTGATCCATGTGAGTCAGTTGTTACCCAGCTTATTTGAGGTGGCTTCACATCAATTTGTGTATCGATAGAGCGAGTAATGTCCGATGTGTCTCGACCTCATTTGCTAATACACTTCTTGGCAGCATTTACCACTAAAATGGCCTCGGTTAGCAAGCTGTTTGAGTACGAGTAGCACTGCTGAAAAAACCTCATGCAACCATTTTTACTAGACCGTTTGAAAACGACAGGCGTTAGATTCGTGCAAACTTTGTGATAGAATCCTTTACACTCGTCGCACTGCATGTCGCTTTCATCGGGGAATCGGCAGCCTGGGCGTTGACAATTTCTTTTCTTGAACTGTACAGCCGTCATACAGGGGTTTTCGAAAAGAAACTAGATACAATAATACCCAGAGACAAAAGAAATTGATGACCAAAATGTGGAAAACTGTAAATTGTTATAATCAAAATTGCTAACAAATACAATAGCAACAGAGTACTAAAAAGTAAAGACGACAGACTATTTTAGAGACGATAACGATACTCTTATCGGATACTTTAACTGAAATAAATTCAATTGAAGTGTAAACAGTAGTCTTGATACGTAATAATCGATCAAAACAATAAAATTTACTCAGTGAGGAAAAATACCGCGGTCCTTTTTAAATAGAAATAATAAATATCAGAGAAATATACAACGTGATAAAATAATCAAACATAGTGGCACAAGAAGTGCATAAAAAATTCGAGGAAACCTATGAAAAATGATTGTAGAAAATGAGAGTCAAATCTTATCACATTGCTTTGAACATGCTCAAGCTTATTCTCTTCATATCATTCATAGATTTCTTTTTCCTGACTAATGCATAATTCAGAAAAAATTTACATTAACGTTCTTCACATTTGCCAAACCAAAAATATCAACAGTTCTTCTTCCATCTCCCTATTCAGATATTGTTTTACTAACATATTTAATCAGGTGGGTTCATCAACGATATGAGTAGCCCAAAATCAGAACTAATGACGGCGCAAAAATGTGCAAAATAACGATGAAATTGTCATGAACAATTCCTCGAAAACGGCATACATTCATATTTATATCTAATACAAAACACTTCGGTCAGAACAGATAGAGACTTAATTTTCACAGTTTTCTGGTAGATGCTGTCAATTCACGTATATGAAACAAATCGTATATCTATTTCACGTTATTGAACTGATTAGATTTTATTTTCGTGTTGTGCTCTCTTACAAATCATTCTTGTTTTATTTTTCTCATCAAACTTGAGTCACCTTCAACTTTTTCAACTAGTTGTGTTATGTTTATATTAAATCGATATATACTCCGATTGACCATGTTTTATATCGTTTCATGAGAATTCTAATATATTGTTGATAGTATTATAACTCGTACTAAATAACTGACATTATGTGAACTAAATTATTTCGATTGTATTATAGATTATTTTTAGGTTAGTAGTGACTATCTTGTTTGCATGTAAACGTGTCATAATCGAAAGCACGTTCAATCAAAATAAACAAAGTGGATAATTGAGGTTTCGCTTTATTCCCATTGGCTGTCGATGGGAATTCGGTTTATCAGTTTACTTACAATGGCTTACGAATCTAATGATTAGATATTAATCAGACACCTGAAAATGTAGTATTTCACAAAGAGGATTTATCAGAAAGGAAGTCATCTTAATCAACTGACTGAAAAGTGTCTTTTGAAGATTATAAAATTTTCATATTTTAATTCATCAATTACTATTAGCGGGAATATCATCAAATACCTGGACGCGGTGGGTGTAAGACAATTATACGTTGCAATCAATGGAAGATGACATCGCTGTACTGTGAATCGATTATGTTCAGACATTTACACTGTGGGATAACCAGTAAGTGGTCTTGAAGTTAAGCGTCTGCGAACGAGGTAGAGTGGTTTTTATTTAATTCTCTGTGGCGAGATCGCGGATGTCTACTGCTTAGGAGTCCAGTACTTTCACGTTTTCACACGTGAACTAGCTAGGATTTTTCGGAGCAATCAGATAAACACACTTCTGCTTTGGGGAGGTACTGGGTGATTTATCTAGAGCGGGAATGATTGACTCACTACTCAGCTAACAAAATACAACACCACTAAGAATGTTCAAATTTCGAATCCACACCTCTGATTTATCGTCTTCTTCAGATAACTGTGTCGTTCACAATTTGTGTTTTTTCTGTTTTTTTGTTCTCCAAAATGAAATATACTTTAGTTTCATACTAAAAATCAGAGTATTGTGGTTCGTGCAAAAATTTAGTGAACAATTTTGTGATCAATCGGCAACTATTAGAAATAAGAAAATGCTGCTATGACTGTACGGTAAAATGTCAGAAAAATATGATTTTAATTATCTTTACTTCTTAATTCATTTTTTGAAGTAATCCCTTGTAACTAATAAAAGGATGAGATGTTTCAGTTTTCAAAAAGGATGCATCTCTCAGGTGGTTGAATAAATGCTCATCTTGAGCTATAAAAAAGTAACCATCAGAGTAGGGATGTAGCTAGTTGAAAAAGTGATCTGTGCTTAGATGTTTGTTGCTAGAATTTGACCAACCGATTCATTGACTTAATTGCTTCCCAACTTTAGCTATGATTATTATAAGAATTCATGTACATTTATTTTGCCAGGACAAAATATAGCAAGTGTACCTGAAATTAAATCCCCCCTTTTGTTCAGTTGAACTTTACAAATCCACTAAAATATTTCAGTTTGTTGCACTGACTTCTTTTATTGGCTCTCGCGAGTTGTCAACCGGCCTAGAGACTGGATCGGAATCCGATTGTTAGCTGTCTCCAGTTACAGTAAAACATTTAATACTATGGGATAAACTTGACTCCAGAATTGGTTGCTTGGAGATGAACATCTTGTTTTCAGGATATGATTTTAAATGCTGCATAGCTTAGAGATTACTGATTCATTTCATAGTAAAGTCACTCATGAAAATATTTAGCGAGTTGCATGATATAAACACGTTTCACTTTACCACTTTAACGTAAAGATGAATCACCTACTGATATTTGCTTAATTGAGAAATAATTACATATATTGTTTTATTTGAAATGTTTTAATTTATAATATTTACGGTCATATACATAATTTATAAGTTTTATTTCATTAAGTCAATGCTGTGTGCCTTTTTTCCCTATTATCAATTCAGTTGTCCAATCCACATGATTTTCAGCTAAATATCTAGTAATCATAAATGCACCTGATTTCAATTGATCTTTTCCTGGATTAATATGAATGTTTTTTAAATGTGTTAGTGTTCTGTTAAGTCTTTTTAAAATAATACCTAAATATACATCGTCGATTCGCAGTTGTTTAGTGAATGGCATTGCAAACGATGCATCATGCACAACATCGGCTCCTAAAAAGTAACCTATTCCTAAGAAATAACGTGGATAGTAGTCCCATGGGTATTCATTGTAAGAAACTGCCCACCGTCCACCATATCCGTTTCTAGGTCTGTCAACTTTCACAAAATATACAGATCCAGACGCAAGTGATTTCATTTGAGAGTAATTAAATTTCCTTATCAAACTGATCGCATTGTTTGGATGAAGTAGTTAGTCATCTTCAATAAATAAGAATAACGGTGACTGAGAGATACAGAAGTTCGTGGCCCAACGTAAAGACAACATCGTTTTAGTTGTCAAATTAAAATATGTATTGTGAAAAGCACCTATTAACATATCATCATATATTTTACTTTCATTACTTAAAATCTTGACTGCTGACCATTTCGAAACATCATGTTTACTTGATAATTGCATCGCGTCTATAGTTGGGGTAGTCATAAAGCCGTCAAAGTGGTAAGTATTTGTTTCGTTTGGTGTTGGCAATCCACCTGTAAACACGAACTGTACTCTGAAATTCTTCCACATATCTTTATTCAGATAAGTCTTTCGGGCAAACACTCGCTGTTCAAAACAATAAACGCATGACTTCACAATCACCACAAGATCAACATTTTTAGACCTAGAACAAGGATCGCAGGTGCGTTTTGGTAAGCGAATAGCAATTAAGTCATTGTTGTTGCATGGTATCTAAAATAAAAAATAAAAAGAAAATACACGAGTCGGAACGTTTATTCGAAAGGAGTGATATAATAATACATCTAAATGAAACAGTTGATGATCAGTTTACTAGTATATCAAATTAAAAGAACTCTTGAATGCATCAGTAAGATACCAGTGAAGATTGAGATATCCAAACAAACTATCATGATTAGTTTCTCAGAAAATCAAACATTCTAAAGCTTTAAAATGTTAAAGGCTATACATGGTAACAGTTTCTTAGTTTAACTCAGCATTAAATAGAATTTAAATAATTAGAAATAGATGCCTGCAAAGTTCCTGTGACAATTATTCATTGAAACACCATTAACATGAAAACTATTGTTTTCTTCTACCCGATCTTAGTAAATTGTTGATGAGACTGTTTAGATATTTGCTAGAAATTGTATGTAACGAGCTCAATATCAAATGTATGGGCTTAAAACACTGCCCTTATGGTGCGCTTTAAAGTATAATGAAATATTTTGTTCATTGGATGTTGACTGATAAAATTTACTCGGTTGATAGTTACTTAATATTTTGTTAAAATGATCATTTTTCAGTTATGAAATTATGTTATATTACAGCGATTAATAACCGACTGTATTATAAAGCTTGTAAACATAACTACTTTAAGTAATAAGTAATAAGGTGTATCTTCACGTGGAACTTTTCATGATAATTGCTTTCAAATAAAGAAATTATATATATATATATATATATATATATATATATATATATATATATATATATATATATATATATATATATATATATATATATATATATATATATAAAAATACTAAATCTCAGAGTAATAACCTTTGTTTTACACACATCGTTCAATGAAAGACCAGATGAGATCGCTTGTAATGCTTCTGTAACATTAAATTGTTTAGGATGATGTTCCATTAAAATAAATGTTACCGGTTCACCAATTTCATTTCTTGTCAATATAGTATAGTTAATGAAACTTTCATTTTTCATTGAATAATCATCATTAAAATGATAAATTATACGATTATCATAACGAATATTATAATGAATTTTTAAATCCAATAATATTGTATTATTATTATTATTATTGTATTGAATTTGATCATTTTGATTGTAGAAAAACATAAAATGAGTAAATGAATTTGTTATTGTAATTTGTTTTAAATAATCATAATGATGATGAATAAATTTTGATTGATAAATAAAATTCATCCATATTATTTTAGATTGGGTTATTTCTTCTAATTTATTATATGAACATATTGTATAATTTCTTAAATATTGTAAATGATTTAAATTATTTCTATTTAAAATATAAATAATTGAATAAAATAAAAATAAATTTATATAAATAGCATAAATAATTCTTTTGAATTTAATACTTATTTTAATTAATAATCTTAGCATCTTTATACAGATTGATTTGATGGTAGGTTCAACGGATTGTTTGTATAATTTCATTTAAATACGAATTGGATCCAATCCTGTGGGAGAGAGAGAGAGATTTCAATTATCCAAACCATGCCATTCATTTTGTCATAGAGGGATCCAGCGAAAAAATCTTAAATCAATGGGACGACATGATAGTATAATATCAAACAAAATAATTCTGATTGAAACTAACTTAAAAGCTAGTAAATTATAGTCGAACTCCGGTGAATTATTGACGATCGAAACTCGCCTAAGTTGTATATATATATATATATATATATATAAGTATTGTTACCCACAGAATGATACATTCGGCATTTTACTACTTTTTTTTAATGGAGAACTATTGAATTTAAATTTTAAATAAATTTAAAAATGAAAATAAAATTCATATTCATACCTTTGAGTCATATGTGTATTTTAATACAAATTTTCAACGAGTCTTTTTTTAGTACCTTCAAAATGATCGATATTAAGAGTGTATTTCATGATAAGATTTAAATAAATGCTTTATTGGTTAGTGACCCTCAGAATTATTTGAAATGACCTTGATAAAATAAAATCAATTTTCAGTTGAATAGAATAGAAGTTTGGATAAAGATTAAAATTTATGGGTAAGGTAAAAGCTTATATGTAATGGTTAAGATTAGAATGAAATAATGTTATAACCATATAAGTGAATATATAACCAATTATAGATAAGAACTTTCGTCTAAATTTGAACGAATAGTTTCACAATATTTGGGCGCCGAGTTAATGGGAGACACTACAAAGGAAGAATGTATTTGTAAAATCTCAGCGAAAGAATTTGAAGTAATTTCAACGTTTCGCCTGGCAATCTGGTTCAAGCTTTTTCAAGGAAAATATAATCAAACAACAAAATTATCGAATATCCGTTGTTTGATTATATTTTCCTTGAAAAAGCTTGAACCAGATTGCCAGGCGAAACGTTGAAATTACTTCAAATTCTTTCGCTGAGATTTTACAAATCCATTCTTCCTTTTTAATATAACCAATTAGTTTTTTAATTTTAAATGTCAAATTTATTTACGTTCGTTACTTCTTATAAGTTTATCGATTCTAGACTTCTTATTCACTAAATCTTTGTAGGTTTATACTCAGTCCATAATTGAATTTACTAACTATTATAATACATCCATTTAATTCATCTGTAAAGCATACTTTTACTATAACATAGAAAAAAGTCACGATAAACTAATTATTGGCTAATATTTATAAAGTTTCTAACCTTTTTTTAAAACAGTTTTGTTAGTGTTTCATAGAATTTGTTGATAACCGTGAGATGGTTTAATTGAATAGTGAAAAACTTATTAACTAATTTATTTTCAGTTAGAAATTAGTTTATTATTCTTCTTTGTTCATTAAAACAAAATGAAAAGATCTAGTACTCTTATCAATTCAGGACTAAATCAAGTTACATAAATATTTCCGAAAATTTAGAAATAAATCTTGACAAAAATAAGTTGTACGTCTTTTAGATTAAGAGGATTAGGAATCGAATAAAGTGAGTTATGGCATGCTGTAAATAGAAATGAAGTTAAACATGAAGTGTTTAGCTTACACCATTTTTAGTAATTCTGTGTGATTCATATAGCAATCATTCTCAATTTTGACATTTAATTCGTTAGTTTTAATTATGTCAAAAATATTTTAACATTCAGATCAAAGAACCCTTTCTGAATTCAGAATTTTTAACTAAATATTTCTTTACCTAGTTTGTTTTAAAGTATTTGAACGAATGGAAAACAATGTGTTACGACCTTGATTTAGTGCGTAATTTTAAATTTTTTGGATAAAATGTTAGTTAAAGTATAACCTTTGAAAGATAGTGAATTAATTGAAGACTCAAATCGTGTAGAGAGTTATAAGCAGAGATGGATGGTGGCCAGCAGTGGAATCCAGGATGCGCATTTTTTCCTATTTGGGTCTTGTCATCTGGATGTACCTGCATTTCAAAGTTGATGTTCATTACGAGAGAGTTTCTGTCAGTGAATTTGGTTAAGACTTGCTTAACGAATTGAAAGCGTAATAAAACATATCGGTGAGTTATCATATCTCTGGCTGGTTTAAAAAACATTCGAATGTACAATCTTATTTCTTAAGAAACTCGGAATAAAGATATCCCTGAAAACGTCATATCTTAGGAATTTGATCAAGGCATTTTTACCAAGTTAGTAAGGGCAATGAAGCGAGAGGTACTTGATAACCCTCTGAAACATTTACTAATGGTAATCTTGTAGCTGTCGTCTATGTTGCTGATATTCTTGTAAATTATCAAGTAAAAAAAACAGCTGTGAAGTCAAGGAGTTTGAAAACCTTCACATAACTGCTCATTTCTACATATTAACGCTTACATTCACAAAACTTCAATACATTCTTCCCTCTAACCAGCGATATATTCTTACCAATTTGCCTGATAAAAATATTAAACTTGATAGATAGTAAAGATTGCTGAAATACTACACGTTACTAAGCTATATCAGAGAAACAAAGCAGAACTACAAAATCTCCTAAGTATTAAAACCAAGCTTTGACTTGGTAGTTTCAAATATATTGGGCATTGGGTTGATTTTTGTTATGACATCTTCCTCTTTTTAGTATGTGTTTGATTAACATTTACAATTGTATAATCATTCTAAATGATTCATAATGACGTACATAATCTACCGAAACATTGTATGAGTGCATCGCATCTGGATTGTGAGGCTGTTAATTCTGTCTAATGAAAGAGTTTGAATGGTTATTTTAATTATAAAGGCAACGGTTCTCTATATGTTTCTGTATTTTCACTCATATTTTAATCTCTATTCCTTTGTCGTCACCTTACATGTTCTTCTTACTCACTTCACTCTAAACTTAACTAAAATTCAGAAGATTCTTCTACTCCTTTACCATTCATATTACCATGTCATCTTTTATCAAACTACATTTACTTACTTCATAAAGCTTACTATGATTTTTTACAGTTCTGTCGCGTCTTTAAACACCCATCTTTACTATTTTTAATTTTACCATAAATTACCAGCTATACTCCACGAACCTCACCCATAAAGAAACAAACTAATCTACAAAAATGTTATTACATTAACTAGTCTAAATAAATATAATTCATTAAAGAATCAGATTTTTAAAAACAAAATTGTCTTCAACGAAGTAGTAAGACCTGGATCAAAAGTAAAATTATTAATGTCAAGTATGTAGATAAGATGGTTTTTAATAATGTAAGTTATGAAGTCACTGACGTATATTATAAATAGTTATTAGAGGTAAATTTTAAACAATATACATTTATTTCGACAATAAAGGAATCTAATGGTTGAAATTATGGGTCGATTTATGTTAAACCACCCTAGAAAACCTGGAAACACTGGACGGCCGTTTCGTTCTAGTATGGAACTCCTCAGCAATGCGCATCCAAGATCCCGCGTGCAGGACGAAACGGCCGTCCAGTGCTTTCAGGTTTTCCAAGGTGGTCTAGCTTAAATCGACTTATGAATTCAACCATTAAATTACAATTTCCATAAACCCTCATTCTGACAATAAAAGAGTCAATCAATAATAAAAAAACCAATTATCATTGAAAAGATTCATGAATGACAAAATGACAAATTGTTTTTACTTCATATTCATCACCTAAAATGAGCAGACCTTTCCTGTTAAGTAAATAAGCAAATGTTTATTTATTTTGGCATACCGCTGCTCCAGTTCATTATACGTTTACTGATTTTATGATGTACATTTATTCCACCTGACATAATATCCTTTTTAGTTAAAGAAGGACCAATAATGTTCAAATGAACAAGTGTTATATTTAATTTATTAAATAAGATCCCTAGATAGGCATCGTCAATGCGTATTTCTCTAACAAAAGCACTTGCAATAGCAAGACGATGCACCAAGCTTGCACCAATAACATAAGTCAATCCATGATAGTACGGCGGATAAGATATCCATGGAAATTCCTTCACGGTCATTGCCCAGACACTACTTGTTTCATCAACCATTGGTCTGAAAACGGTTCGAGATGAACGGATGTAACCTCCATTCATATTTCTTAAATAGTCTTCAGTATTATTATCATAAAATGTTATTACATTCTTTGGTACTAAATCATAGTCATCATCTATAAACAAATATAAAGGGACTTGTTTTGGACAAAATGCTGAGAGCCATCTTAAACAAAATATCATCTTCTTTGTTAAGTTGTAATATGTATCGTGAAATGATCCAATCAACAAATCATCATATAAATCAGCCTCTAATGACAACTGTTTTACAAACGGCCACTTGGAACTTCCATAATGTTTAGAAAATCTCCACCACTTCGTATCCAAGACATATGTATTTCCATCAAATCTGAAGGAGTTTGATTCGTTTTCCATGGGGATTCCTAGGACAAATACAAACTGAACACTGAAATTCGGCCATAATTTTTTCTGCATAAATGTTCGTCTTGCACGGTCACGGTATTCGAAGTTATACACTGAAGATTTAATTATTACTATCAGATTTGGAATTAACTCATTGTTGTATGATCTGCAGACAGATTTAGGAACCCGAAGTGCAAACATTTCTGGATTATTGATAGGTTTCTAAAAGATAAAATAGCTTGTACTTTATGTGGAGAATATCAGAAAAATTAAAATAATTAATCATCCAATGTAATTGTTATATATTCTACTTTCGATTAGCTTAATGTGGATTTCCTTTTATCAGTTGTGATATTTCCTAGATGATGGGATTTTATGGAGAGAATTTTTATCTACAGGTGATATTCGTCACGGATCGATCTAAATTTAGCCACTAATGAAAAACAAAAAAACGGGTATATATATATACTTACCGTGTGAATTGGAATTGCATTTTGTATATCATAGATCAGCTTTGAAAAGTTCAAATTTTGTGGAAATATAGAGTAGTCAGTTGAATTCGATCCCATGTATTCTGGTTCCATACCAGTTAATAATTCCTCTTGTTTGTAGCTGTTAGATACCATATCTGCAAATTTATTGTAAAGGTCTTCATCCTTAGAATCTGTTGCATTATGCGCAAGTGAAAAATGTAATGCAAGATTGAAACTATGTAAGCGTTCATCAATTAAGTATGTAACAGAAGATGGTGGCCAACGTTGAGAATATGAATCTAGAGAGATAATTTTTTGATTATTTATCAGATTCAAATATTTAGTACATCTAATCCATGAATGTTTAGATTTGATGCAATTTTTGAAATATTCATTCTCATTAATTTTATATAATGGAGAATGATGAACTATTAATTTTATGCTAGATAACCATATAATGACGAGGTAAATTATACACACACTGCTAATAATAATCAATCCTCTCTGAATTTGTAACATTTGAATAAATGAAATACTAGTTAATACA